TATTTTAATTTACATAACAATTAGATACATAAGGGTTATATAAATTGAACCACTAAAACAGATGTAATTTAAATTGAAGGGAACTTTCTACTATACCCGCCATGCTATCTGACCCGAACGAGCCACCTGCTAGCCAACTACACTTACTCGCATCTGCGTTATTAAGTTAAACTTTAAGGATTACAAATTATTAACATCGTTAATTTTAAAGCAGTTATCACCGAGTTACATCTTGAAAATAGGGAAAACTATTATTTTGCTGTGAACCAAAGAACCGTAGCCGATTTGAAATATTAAGCATCTTCTAGTTGTGAATGTTACAAACTACGAAAATGTTAGTGAGAATCCTCATCATGTATAAAGCCATGGCTACACACATAGGCAACAACTTTCCTCTGAATTTCCAACCGAATCCTGAATTAAGAGGAGTATTCATGTTTCTTGTTTAAACTGTACGATAATTCTGGCTTCGTATAGCGGGATAAACCCTGTATCCTAAACCTCCTAAAATTAAAGAATTTATATCAATCATCGCCAGGAGTCAAACAAGTAACAATTGCCTATGTTTTATAAACAAATATACATATATTTGAATGTATAGAGGTATTAGAATGTGTATACATTCAGAGGGCGTGTCTAATAGCTTATAAAAGATATATACAATCAAACACTTTACATTTCTCTTTCGACGTTACCGCTGCATATCATCAGATTTTCTGATGGTAATATATTCTAACTTATTAAACTCAAAAACAACAAAGGTCACAGGTAGGCGTCAGTCTTAGGGTAATTAGTTTGTTTGGTAGTTTGAGCTTGGCGTGGCAACCTGACATTCACTGCTCAATCAGTCAGTGACGTCACGTTAGCTTACTCGCGGCGGGATATTGAAGATTAACTTTTTGACAATCAGTTAATTGAGTAATAAGAATCTTATTCGATTAAATGCGTGTCGATCAATTAATCGATGATCGATTAAAAATTCACACCTCTAATTCTAAGACATAACTGCTGGTTTTCAGCAGATTTTTGGTGAAAATCAAAACCAATTTTTCTCAAAGCTTCATGAATTCGACCAGGTCTTGGTGGTTGTTTTATAAAAAACTGAGCAATATCTAACCGGGGGCAAAATAATTTTAGCCGAAGCCAAAGTAAGTCAATGAAGAACAATGTGCACCCCTTTATTGATAGTTGACCCCTGGCTGTGACAGTCCATATCTCAAAACGTATTAAGATCCATTTTTCGAAAAACTGCAATAATTTTAGCATATTTCATTCTTATATAAAAACGATTCATTGATACCATTTACATCACCAATATTGTACAAATAATTCAAAATGGTTCTGGTCCATCTATATGTTCAATATGAACACAAGGTCATCCTTCAACACTTTTCCGACTTACATTTGGGGCTACATGTAGTCCGGGGTGGGGCTATAGTTTATTCACGCCGTGGCACATGCGCAGATTCGAACACTTAAAATGGTATCGATCACTAATATAACAAATTTCTAATTTCACAAATGTGATGATACTGTTTTTGCAAAATGGTTCTTTGACATAATATATCATTAGTATGATTTTTCAGGCATCCAGCTAATTGCATAAAATTAAATAAATTGAAAATACCTGCAGTAACCGACTTAACCGCACGAGTGAGATCTATAAGTAGACCACTATCATCAAACCATGAGAGCTGAATGGCATTAAATTGCCATGAGAATTAGTTTGGTGTGACTGTGGGGTCAACTATGGGTATTCAATCACATGGCTTTAGCCCATGGCCCATTAAAAACATCTTCGAAGGCGATTCGCAACCGAAACATTGTGAATCAATATATACAAGGACCGATCTAGAAGTTCTGATAAAAATGCTCTAAATTAGAGCTCAAAATTATATTTTTGAGAATGATATTGTCCAAAAGTGTAAAAATGCAATTTTCTGAAATTGTTTGGATTTCTTTCATACATATTATCAATAGTATGTAAAATCTACCCTTTTATCAATAACCTTGTCAAATATGATGAACTAACTGGTTATTAGGTAAATTGTAATGTTCCATGCATTGAACTCTCCATCATCACAAAAAATTAAAATGGGACGAAGGGGGGGGGGGACGGAGGGGGGGGGGAGTAATAATTCTATAAAGTGAAACAACTTCACACGAATTCTTGTATTTGAAAAATGAACTCATTAACTTAGTAAGAAACTGGATGATATACCCCTGGAGACTGAAAAATGGGGACATTTGGAGTAAAAGGACTTAAAGTCGCGAAACATCTCTAATCATGTCTTATATACATATTGCTCCCCCCCCCCTCCGTCCCCTCCCCCCTCCGTCCCAAATTCATTATTTTCGATTATTTTTTATTTCACATATGGAAACTTATTTTATAAATTCAGCAATGACATTAATTTAGTTATGATAACATCACTTACAAGTATTTATTACAGGTCGTCCAGACCATTGTTGCTTGATTTATAGCAAAAACGTTGATTTGTGCCTGTTGATGGCATTGCGCCTTTTTTAATAGATCTCATACCTTAGATGCGTATCGTTTCAGAAAAAATCCCAGAAAACCTAACATATTCTACCATACCGTGCGCCTATCCATTTAGCAATTCAATAGTAAACTTATTCTTGAAAAAATAAATCTTCCAGATTTGTTGAATTTCCTAGCAGAAATTGCCTGCCCCCCCCCCCCCCCCTCCGTCCCATATTCACGATCACCGGGCGTGATATTGTTTTTTTTATTTTCAATTCAAAGAAAAAACAAATAGGTATTTTGACCACTATGTATTCTTTGTTGCAAGGCATTGACATTTAAAAAAGGTTTAATTTTAGAGTCTACAGCCGAAACACAATGGATATCTTGAGTATCAATTGAGAGTATTCGTGAAGCCATAAAGACTTTTACATGTGCGCCATGATTAAATAAATATAACATTCTTCGAAAATATTTGCTATTAAATATTCCACTAAATCAGTAACTAATTGTAAGTTCATAAGGTCAATATAAAATGAAATACCAAATAAAAAGCTTTTGATTTCTTTTCAAATCATCATCTTACCTCGGTATTGAAGTGTGGGAATCGCATGTTTCAGAATTTGACATATTGAACTCTGAAGTCTCAATGAATTAGGAATGAGGATTTCTCCCGAAAATATCTCGTTTAAAAAATATGTTCCTTAAAGATATGTTGGGATTTGCCCTTAAATGTATGTTAACTCTTGATTTGGATTTCATTAAACAAATGTCACGTTAAAATGTATGATTTCAGGACATCTATTAAGTAAAAGATTCACCAAAAACTATTTTTAATGTAGAAAATTAAAGAATTCAAACATAAGGAGACTTTAACACTCCGGTTGCCAAACTTTTGGAGGGGATGTAAATTGCATGTACATGATGGTCAAATAAAATGGCAACCATGTCGCTATACTCCCTGATATTTGGTACATGTGTACATCATTCAATGTCCTATCAGCCTATAATATTTCATGACCTACAGCACTTCAAACAACTAGCTCCAAAGACCAATATTGTGCTTTTGGTAAACCTGCACCCGTCGTCCAAAATGTTCTTACCTGACTTCTACCTGTGAGATATGCCAAAGGTGAAGTGTACAGAAAGGACCTCAGGACAATTACAGACCTCCAAAAGGAGATCATAATTTTCATTTGGGCCATACCTACTGAGGATTGCAGTTGGGTTATAGACAACTTGTGCAGGTTTACTTAAGCGCGATGATGGCCGAACCGGGGGCATGTTGTTTATAGTGCTGTAACATTGTGATCAGTCATGAAATATGGTAGGTTGCAATTGGTAGGAAATTGAATGATGTACAAGTGTGTAAAATACCAGGGAGTAATTCTTTACAATGACAAAGATATGAGGAAAATACAAGGTTGCCATTTTTTGACCATCCTGTATGAAAAATACAGAAATGGTTTCATGTGAGGAACCCCAATGAAGGGGGAGATTTGTAGATAACATAAAACATAGAACCCATTGTCATCGAATCCTGGCTACGGAGGTAACATAATTTTACAAATGTCTGTTTTAACAGTAACTGCTGTTAATGTCCTCTTCTCATAAATGTGAAATCATTGTAAATCCTGTTTGATACAGAAAACATGAACGCTTCATGATACATTAGACAAGGCATAAGACACTAAGCTTTCAGTTCATCTATGTAAAGCAATTCATAAAAACTGACCGAACAGAGCCAAAGATTCAAACATGTTTGACGAGGACAACACGTTATGTCACAAATCTGGCATGATCTACAATATTATCAGCAACAAGTTAAATATGGAGTTATTAGGACAGAAAGGTGTATTAGGACATTCTCCATACTTCCCAGATAATACCCCCCTGGACTTTGTTGTGTTTGGATCGGCCCTGGAGTGTGTGTACATACAGTGGGTGGATAGATACCAGGGTGTATCAATGTAGTGTATTATTGCAGAAGGACATTATTTTGAGTATCTTGGTTGAGTTTAATCTCAAATAGGATTGGATTTAGTTTTTCAGATTTCGATATGAGTCATGACGTCAATATGAGCTCAAATCCTGGACCAAGTGTCCCTACCATGGGTTAGGAAAAGTGTGATTACAGAAAGTTCTATCAATTAATAAATTCCCTGCTGCATAGGCATATAAATTATGTAAACTGTGTAAAAAGTTCAAGTGATTTCCTTTACTTAGAAAAAGCATTTTTATCAGAACTTCTGGATCGACCTTCGTATAAGAAATAAAAGTTCACTTTTCTTTTCTTATCCCGCTCATTAATTTGAACTGACATGTCGCTAATGTAAAAGCGAGCGGGGCACCCAGTGCACGGCATTTAAACAATTTTTTTAACAAAACTGTTATAGTATTTAAATGGGGAAAAGCGTAAAAATAAATAATATCTTGGGCTTTTTAGCTTGTAATTGGTTGAAATAGTAAAAAGAACACTTCATGTGGAGATAATACATGGTTGCTGGTAATATACATTACGTTAAGCATTGTCATGAATAAACGGACGCGAGTGTCAATCATTTTGGGATATGTGCTTTGTTTTAATGCTATAATAATAGTAATTGAGATAATGACAATACCTTCGACAGCGTCAAAACCATTCCCGTTTTCTTATGGTATGTACATGTAGCTGATGAAAATGAATGGAATGAAAAAGTTCATCAAGACACAAAAAACTATGTCCTATGATCTTTGACACATTTGTATTTTTTGGTAACAATCTTAGATAGCTTTTACCTAAAAGTATAAAGTTTGAATTCAACAACTACGAACTAATTATTTACTAATCTGTTTCAGACAACCGTTCAGACAACAAAACAGGGGATGGTCTACCACGAATATTATGTTGGATAATGACAAGCCCAGGAGACTTAATGAGGCGAACAAGACACGTCCAGAACACTTGGGCAAGACACTGTGATATAGACCTGTATATGAGCTCAAAGGAGAACAAATCATTCCCAACAATTGGACTTAATGTTACAGAGGGAAGGAGTCACATTTCAATGAAGGCTAAAGCAAGTTGGACATATATATATCATAATTACATAAACAAAGCTGATTATTTTGTCAAAGTCGACCCAGACAGTTTCCTTATTGTGGAAAATCTAAAGATGTATTTGTCTAGATACAACCCGGATGAACCTAGTTTTTATGGCCACGTGCTCAATCTTAGGGGAAACCCCTTTATGAAATACATGTCTGGGGGTTCAGGGCTAATACTCAGTCGGGAGTCTGTGAGACGATTGGTGACTATAGGTTTCAAGAATTTTACAAAATGTATGCCAGATGGAGAAGGTAGATGCACTAAATCGTATTATTTATAATTCCCTATATGTATGATGCTCGAGGCACGGAATACAAAGTAGATCCATAAAGAATTGATATCTCTGCTCAGGGAGAAATTAAATATAACTTTTGAAATATGTTGAAATTGTCCTAAATCTATTGTTTTTCTGTAGAGCACTACAAGTTATTGAATGATTTGAAGTGCAATACAGGATATATTGTACTTGTAAATTGTGTATTGGCATGAGACGAAGTCGAGTGCTAATACAGAATATCGAGGGCCTGCCATAGAATAGCTACCTCAATTCAAAATTTGGACACTGAAAAGCCAAGGTCAAAATGTAGGTCAAATTCATGTTTTTCCTTATTTTTGCGATTCGGACACTACACTTTAATGATGTTCTTCTAAATTTGGTATACAGATAGCAAATACTATGCTCATAGAGTTAGCCTTTTGCCATCAGAAAGTATTTTACCCACTTTTGAGTTATGGTGTCAAAATAAAGAATTCTCCAAATTAACCGTGTGAGTTATGACATAAGGGAACAATTTCCTCAGAAATCCTAATCTGCAAACCAAATTTCAATCCGACTTCCGATTTGGAAGTTATGGCGTTTTGAAGTCTCGAAATGTCGATATGGTGATATCCCTATGTTGAGTTAATGGAGTCAAGAAAGCATAACTAAGAATTCTCTAAATGTCTATATTCTGGTTGACTCAGCTTCTTTTGGACCACACAGTTTATTCTGGATGACTCAGCTTAAAAAAGTCTGAAATCTGGAGTCTTAAATTCAACTTGTTTACCATTCTACTTATGTTTTGTTTACCTGCATTTAGGAGAAGACTGGAAGACAGCACATTGTCTGCGCATCGCAGGGTGTATTCCAGTGACCAGCTTAGATGAGAAAGGGAGGGAGAGATTCCTTGCTTATCATCCCAAAAGATATCTCTTCGGAAACTTCCCAAGAACTTACCTCAAGGCTGATGATAATAAAGCAGAAATAAAGGTATTTGCGCCTATCCCAGGAAAAGATGAATATACTAGTGCAATATCCATAAAAAGGAGCGAGGCTTCAAATAAATCACACTTCCAGGTACACAGAGACCTGAAGAATATCCGACGAGCGGGTTGCGTTGAATGACAATTAGAAGATTTATCAAAAAACTAAAATGGCTAACGAAAAACAAGATGGCAACCATTTTAAAATTCCTTAATCCCAGGTCAAGAATATTAGAGAATATTAGTGTCGACGAATGCTTTTCAATTGGAGCACGTCAATAGTTCAGTGTAGAGGAAAGCCACATAAGTCCACGGGGGGAAAGTCTACCCACCTATATACAACCTATCGCCGAGCAAAGACCCGAATATGTATGAAAATGTAGGGGGAAGTTAATAAACTCCTGTTTATATATTGAATTTCTCAATATGAGAAATCGATAAAACACAGAATTGTTTGTAACTGATATAGTTGTTGTTCCAGGCACTCATGTTTGCAAAATAATGAGTACTTAATGCAATATTTACTATCAAATCGCTAAATTCAACTTCTAAATATTTCAATGATGTTTTACATCTTAAATAAGTAAGATCCATGGCTATCTTTACTCCATTTGATTCGAAGATACAATAGGTGTAAATACATCACATTTGTTTCACTGTCATATGTTGCATATCATTGAAATCACCGGTGAAAGTTGAAAATGAAAGACCCGATTATACCACGAGTACGATTCTATAGGACCTGATGGTACCGCCTGAGTTTTCCGATTATACCGTGGGTAGAGCCCGATGAGGTAGTGAGTAACCTTTCGGTTGATCATATAATAACATGACGTATATCACAAATATTCCTGTTAATTTATCATATATTCCTGGCGTCGGGATATAAAATAATATGGTATAATTCCCGCAGCACTAGACGTCAACGTCTGTGTTCCACAAAGTTCTTTAAAACAGTTCTATCTGACAATGCTTGTAATCCAATGATTTTAATACGAACTTTGGTCCTTCGACCTCGTTGCCATGTTTTATTCAAAATCTAAATTATTTACTCAAACTGAACAGGTGTTATACAAAGTGATTATAAAAAAACATTTAAATCAATGGTTCAATACCACTCTTAACGGAATGAGGCCACGAAATATAAAAATTCGTTTAATTAGAATATTATGTGTTGTTTTGTATCTACCAAGACGGTAAACATATGAAAAATAGTTATATATTTTGATTGGTCTAAAATGTGCAAAGTTAAAAGACCTGTTATACTCATTCGCTCTCAATTTTGACTAAAATAAGATATCAGTACAACGGCTACTAAAATGAAGACAGAAGTAGAGATTAAGAACGTAAAACATATTCATTTTTATCCATGAATATGGATAATAATTGATTTAAATGCAATTCCGCGCTATTCCTATCCTCAAAGATATCTGTAAAACGGCTACTAAAATGAAGAAAGATTGACCAGTAGAGATTAGGATCGTAGTACATATTCATTTCTATCTAAAAATATGGATAATAATTGATTTAAATGCAATCCCGCGCTATTTCTATCCTCCAGTGTTGATAGCCTAATTTCTATACTACTGTGTCAGTCCGGGTCAAAATGCTACAATAGTATTAGTAACGAGGAACCCTTCTAATAAAGGCAATTAAATCAAGGTTCAAAAACTCCCAAAAGTGGCCCTAAAACCATTTCATCATCAGCACGTCATAAACTTGACGATATCATCGGATCTCAACAGATTTTACTCAAGTAATGTTCGGATTCTGAGATCCTTTACTCGAGATATTTTCGGATCTTTATAATATTACTCATCGATCACATCAGGTCCGATGTCCGATAACATCGGATCTTTTAGGACAGCGTTTATGTGAAGATTTTCCTGTTCAAAAGTGCTATTTTGACCTAATAATTTGACACTTAATATATTATGCATATGACATACATTTACCGGCCCAAGTATGTCTTATGTATGACTCGTTATCAATTAAAGTGAGTACGAATGAGAAAAACAAATCGAAAACCATCATAATTTTTATTTATCTCTTAATTTGGACATAAAAATATATTTCAACTAAAATTCTGGGCCAATTCCGCCTGCTAGAACATCTTAGTAACGATTCTAACCATCCAAGGGAATTGATAGTGGCCTAATATTACCTTTATTGTCCATTTTCCTACGAGATGTAGCTTACCAAACATTGGATTGGCGGCATAAGCGTGCCTTACTCGGCGGTAGGTTGTATATAGGCGGTTAGACTTTCCCCGTGTAAGTTGCTCTTATACACACCTTTGCTCATATTTCTGAAATATTCGGCACTTCACAAAAAGCAATAATTATCTTCAACTATATCAATTCCAAATGTTTTCATTGTATGAAGTGTCCAAAAATAATTATTATCCCAGGAAATGTTAATCAGTCTCAAGAATTTTTTTTCGAAATGTCAGTGATTTCTGACCGATTAATATGATCTATGAAATGAAAAATGTACATCTGCAAGCGTTTGATTAATTTTTCCTAAGATTGAGATACATTTTTGGGGGATCGGTGGAAAATTGAAAATATTCTGATTTATTCTCTATATAGTATTTTTGAGCTTCGATGTATGTTTTTCCAGGGGATGGACTGTTGTAGTGAATATCCAGTGGCTTACCATTACGTCTCTCCTGAAGACATGTACTTGTTTTACTACTTCATATACCAAGTGAAGCTCCATCGGAATATGGCGAGGACGGATGCTGGACCAGTGAAGGACTATCTTCTGGGAGAAATAGACCATCCATCGTGGCATAAAAGACACAGTGATACGTAATATAGAACACTGGTGTGCCAAGGGGGAGGGCGTGGGGGCCGACCGCCCCCCTTTTTTCCCCAGATTTTTTTAGATTTGAAACTGAGCCTTGAATTGAAAGCTCGAGAGCTAATTAAAGTCGATGTGTAATGATGACAGAAATGATACTATGTCAGCATATTGTCTACATCAAGCATAGAAGATCTCATTTCTCATATTATATATATATTTTTTTTTATCAAAATCAAAGTAACATTTTTACAGGTTGTAGTGGCTATGACCCCAAGAGGGAGTATTAGGTGCCATATAATGGTATTTACAATGATTTGTGAAATATTATAAGAAATGTACATGTCATTGTGTAAAGTATGATATTGTACATAATTGAGAAAATAAACTAATTTGATGGAAATGATTTAAGGTCTCTTCTACAATAACAGGTGCAAGCAATAAAAATGTGTGGAGTAATAGAAAATATAATTTCAATATTACATTATTTAATAGTATGATGTAATAACATCTGGTGAGATTGTACGGTAGTTCAAGGAACTACTCCTCCAAGTATAGATTGCAGTAATAATCTTTAAATGACTTTTTGAGAATAGGGATGCTTTTTGAGGTTTTGATATCAGAGTGTGTTTCATTCCATATAAGGCCACCTTGAACTAAAATACTTTTCTTTCCATAGTTAGTGTTAAATTTGGAGATATGGAGATCATTCACTTGTCAAATGAAATGATGATGAATGTCCATATTGCATTCATAATAATTACAAAAAAGATCAACTGGGAAATCAGTTTTTCATTTTTCATTTGAACATGAATATGAGAATATTAAGATGGTAAACAGAAACTATCTTTTAAATTTCAAGTTGGGCAAAGAAACCCGATGTATGCTCCCTATTGCCTTTGCATTGCATATCTATTCTAAGAAATCTCTTTTGCAGTTTTAAAAGTGGTTCTAAAGTTGTTTTTCTTGCTGTACCCCATATTGGGATGCTGTATTGCAAATGAGAGTAGATTAATGAATAATATATTGTCAACAGAGTTTTTAAACGAAAAAGATGTCCTGTTTTGAAAAGTATTACCAAGGTTTTTGAAATTTTGAGAGAGATCTTTTGTGTATGTTCCTTCCGATATAGATATTGATCAATGACTACACCAAGAACGTTTGTTGAGAGAACTCGGTTGATCCTAAATGGATATATCAACAGGAACTTGTTGCTCATTCGTAGATAATCCTACCTATAGGATATCAAGCCCTCTCATAAGTACAGCTACCCTCAATACATTTCCCTTCTCTTAGCTGAGACCCTATTGGAGTCATCATATGCAATATATCTTAATCATGAATGAGTATAACTTTTATCATGTATTCTATCAACGTTTTCTGCTCCACCTTTATCATTCAAAGCCATATTCTCCAATATTTCCTGAATTCATGAGGAAATGCCTCCTTACGTTAAAGATACTTATTCGTTCTTCATCACACTTGTCTGGATGACGCGGACATTATTCTGTGCACAGTTTCAGAATACCTTTACAATAAATCCTGACACATTTTAATGAATGAAGGAATTATGGAATATTGGCGAGAATTATGATTGCATTGCAAATAGCATTATTTGTAAAATTTTGTTTGACCTATTGAAATAAAACATAAAATGGACGTTCACGAATATCACTTTTAATGATTTATTTATATGAGTTTATTCAACAATCCTAACAATCGTTGTTATGTCTTTTGTTGTTATTTCTAATTTCTTTGCCAAACTCTGACGTAATCCACCTCCATGGCAACATCGTCACCCCGCCAAGTACTATACCACCCAGACCTGCCATTCCAGAAATCTTCATTTGATTGGGGAGAGTTATTCGACCATGGTTTAGGATATGGGAGGCTTTGTACATTGTCCGGGAAATAACCATTTGTTCCCCCAACAGCAACGTTCAGAATGAGGTAGAACTAGTAATAAGAAATAATATTGATAATCTTACAACACATATTCACGGGCATGAATCTAAAGCTTTATTCGCTATAACGGAGCATGTTATTTTTATAAAAACACTAAGAAAACTTCAAAATTCATTTTTTAACTCATATGTTTCGTTATACCAAAGAAAATTACTTATGCAAATGGTAAAAATTACAATATTTGAATCATTGTCTGTCTTCCTTTAGGCTATGATTTATTGCTTATTTGGAGTCAGTACGAGAGCTGTGTATAAGGTAATTTCTAATGATAATAAGGACGTTATATTACTTCTCGATTAAAAGGTGCGTCTATCCCCTGTCCTTCCCAAGGGTTTGGTCCAGTACACCCTCCCCAGTTGTAGTAACCCTCCGACGGAGTGGGTACATTCAGCACCAGATTCCCGTCCTCAAAAACCCTAATAACAAAAACACAACTTGAAAAAAGAAATACAAAACTTCTTTAAATTCCATAAAAATAGTAAATAGTAAGTACTAGGCTATTAATTATAATTTACATAAAAAATTACACTTTTACGACACTTTTCCTCACAGCATATAATGTCTAAAATTTCTGATCGTATTGAATATGTATATCCATTCTTAAATAACATATGCATTGACAAGGGAAACCTTATTAATGGAAATAAATTAAGAACATATAAGGAATTTAAATTTGGTGTCTGCACTGAACAGTTTATAAAGTATAACCTGCCAAGACACCATTGAAAAATTCTGGCAGAATTTAGATCTGGTACTTTGAAGTTAGCCATAGAGACGGGTCGCTTCAATAACATTCCAATACACAACAGAAAATGTCTTTTATGTGATAGTGACCAAGTAGAAGATGAAAAACATTTTCTGTTAGACTGTACACATTATATAGATATTAGAAAAGACCTATTTTCATATTTAAGAGATTCATTCGATAATTTTAGTGTTGATAATATTACACTCCACTCTATAATGACATGTGAATCTAGTCAAAGGAAAATTGCTTCCTCTATATATAAAATGTTTCAAAAGAGGGCATTTTAATCTGGAACGTTTGCAATAACATTGTAATATTGATGCTATTTACACTGCTACCCACCTAGTTACACAGACGTATCGTCAGTGTATCATGGCTGAACTACTTCCGGGATCTGAATTTGGTAAGATATTTTTATTTCTCGATTTACATCTACTTATAAGTCACGATGTTGATTATAATTTGGCTCAAAGTTATGGGAGATAGTCTAGTTTGAGAATGTGTCGATGGTTTTAGGTTTGGTATGTTAACGAAGACGCATTTCACATATTTAGTCCCTCGCTTTTGTTACACTGACGATCGGCATTAATATTGCCAATATTACACTGATATTGGTCGTTCGTCAGTGTAACAAAAGCGAGGGACTAAATACGTGAATTGTGTCTTCGTTAACATATAAAACCTAAAACCATCGACTCTCAAACTAGACTATCTTCCTTAACTTCGAGCCAAATTATTATCCACAACGTGACTTATAAGTAGGTGTAAATCGGGAAATAAAAAAATAGTACCGAAACCTAGTCCCGGAAGTAGTTCCGCCATGATACACTGACGATACGTCTGTGTAACTAGGTGGGTAGCAGTGATTTATGTATTCATATTTAAGTGTCTCACAAGCCGGCATCGGCTAGAGGTTTTTATTAATGTATTTTAGTATTGTATTTTATTGTATATATGTATGAACCTGTGACACTATAATAAACTATATAAACTAAAACTATATCCTTACATTAAACCTGTTTCGTCCCAATCCAATCTGTATATGTGGAAATCTTGGCCATATGTACACCCAGGGCAGTGCCTACAAAACAACGACCGTTATAAAACATTTTAAAACCCGTTGACATTTTTGAAAATTCTTGTAACGACCAATTGATCAAATTAGACGATGACATCCCATGTAAGTATGCAATATATCGGTAAGACCTATCTTATAGTACATGTAATTACAGCTACCTTTTTCCTTGCGTCATTGTCCATCTATTCTGCGCCGGTTCTGGTCCCCAGTGAAGCGTTGCACCGAACTCCTGAACACCAATGGAACCATAGTTCTCATTCCCTGAATGCATAAGCAATCACAAACCACCACACATACAAAGGGTTTGACTGGTAGTACTGAGATTTGAACGGTGTTGTGTTTTTGCTCATTGTTCTTTAATCAGCGACATTTCTACTGTTACGGAGGTCTAATCATATCGATTCATTTGTTTCAATCTGTGTCGAATATTTAACAGAAATGCATTTGTGAATCTTGCAATATCTATACGTTGCTGGCGATCAGAATTTCCAATATCCCCATGATACGTCACTGTGTCATGTAACCTCGATAAATCCGGCAAATATTCAAACATCAATTTGGACATTAGAACGTCATTACAGAACTCTACGAGTAGCTATAACATCGATATTGTGAGGCCCGTGGAGTTTACTTACCTCGACTTTCACAAACGTCTATCTCTCCGGAACGAGGCCATCCTCCGTATACCGCGTCCCTAGGTAGGAGCCAGAGAGCTACAATAATGTTGTCAATTAGGTCAATAACAGTCAATTAGGTAATACAATTTGACACCCCTATCTTTGTCATATTTTCAAGAAATTCATATCCTTAAGATCATGTATTGCCCACTGCTACAAATTATTTCCTTTTTCCTCGTATTTATGTATTAAAAAGTGATATCTCAGTAGAGTCAAATGATAACAGCATTCCTTCTTCAACCATAGAGATTCATATTCATTCATATTCAGAGATTCATTCAAGTACGTTAGATGGGGGAATGTTATGAGCCATTAGGTCTACCTGGCCAGATCCAATCCCCTGTAGGCATCTTTGCTCTGAATTCCATCCTTCCATAACGAAACGCTTGTCTCGATTTAAGCTTTCCAGACATGATAGAGTTAATCATCCCGTTTCTTCCCTCTCGTCGGCATCCGTAATCTCGCTCGTCTGTACACCGACCATACATTTCTTCCAGATTAAAACATAGGGGAGGAAACCCATTAAACATTACAAAAAACAAATAAACAGGAACAATTGGAACAAGGCACCTGCCGTGAACAAAATAGACACAGCCTATAATGTTAAGTAATACACATGAAATTTACCTCTAAGGTCCAGGATTCCATTATACAGAAAATCTTCTCCAAATCTGTCGGCTGTAAGGGTAGGTTTAATTACCAGATTCCCATTCCTTACGAATGTGTTCTGCTGCTCCGGTGTGTAAACTTGGAACTCCCAATTCTGTTCAAAATACCAGATGACATTTTTTCGATTAAACATGGACAGGTATGCCAAAATTGA